GGAACTTTCTTACAGCAGCGGAGGAGAACGGACCCACTCGAGTAAAAATATTAACCTTCCAAACACGTACAAAGTCTTGCTCCAAAGAATCCACCGAATGTAAATCGGGACGTTATTAGTCGCGTATCCAATGGAGAGTACCAAAGTTGGAAGGGGTGGGAAAAATTTGCGGCTTAATTTGGAGACACAGAGTTGACCAAGAAAGACATACTGTGTTTAGAAAGGGAGGCAAAATCAAAATACAGGTTTGCAAATTGATTTTGATAATTAGAAGACGAAGTGGGACCAAGTAATCCGAGAGCCAGCGACATAAAATTTCGGCCAATTTCGTTACAAATATCCTTTTGTCATTTAACTGTTTTCTACTAAAGAATAAAAATAATCCAAGGCTGGCAGCGCACAAACGGTGCATCGCTCCGCTAGAAAGTCGTAAACATGTAAGAAATAACAGTATCTTTAACTGAAGTCATTATTACTGAAATTTTTAGAATGTATTGTTGACATACCAAGGTGCATAAAAAAGTTGGTCTGGCAGATTGTAAGCGGTGCTAAATGGGTCTAGCAGTCGGAAAACCTTATCGGAAAAACGAAGTAGTTTGACTGAAATCATTATTTCCGAAACTTTTTGTATAAACAATATGTAATACATAGGGTTAAAAAAATTTGGTCTGGAAAACTTTGAGTGGTGATAAATCGGTCTGGTTTCTAACAAAACTATCAAGTAATAATTATTTTTAAACATTATATACTTTAGTTATTTATAGAATATTGCTGTGATGATTTTTATTTCATACAATTATTATTATTATTTAACTTAAATAAGACATGAAATTGCACGGCGCGCATTTGTGTTCGCTCTTTTAAACGGCTGCCAGCACCGCTTACAATCTGCCAGACCAACTTTTTTATGCAATTTGGTATGTTAACAATACACGCTAAAAATTTCAAGAGTTATCTTGACTTTCAGTAGTAATGATTTTGGCCAGAAATCAAATTATTATAATACGCCATAGTGAAGCGTTGCACCACTGAATTCATGCCAGACCAAGCATTTCTGAACTAGGGAGACATACTATTTTCGGAAAACAGGTTCATTTGTGTAATGAAATGAGTCACCCATTCCTGTCGCGGGCTCTCGGACTAAAAGGAGTAGGTACAAGTCAGGAGGCTTTCATTTTGGTGCTGAATTGATCATAAATTATTTGCATCCTCATCAGAGTGAAGAAGAATAGAGTTATCTTGACTCTACAGATTTTATATAATTATTTCAGCTCTGTATTCTTATAAATACCTAAAATATTTTTTCAAATGAATATGTTCTCCAAAACATAGGCATACATAAATACATTAACGGTTAAATATTCATTCGAAAGTATTGAATAATAAATTGGTGTACATTCGATGAAATAATAATCAAATTTTTGTTCGCACGTTGAACGCACTCCAGCGCGAGTTAATTTTACGTAAATTTCATATCAGAGGAAATTAAAACGAATCAGCCACGAATTATGCGGAAAGTTGCAACTCTCTCGCCTAATTAGTAATTGAACTACAGGGGGAATAATAATTTGGACATCGTATAAACGGTGGAAAACGAGGCAACGAAAATGTTCCGCGGAATTGTACACCAATTTGCGAAGCATGTGGCAAATGGGAAACGTTCGAACGATGAAAAACGGAAATTTGTTTTTGTAATTGGACTTTTTGACCGCGCTACGAAATTAGAACGGAACCGAATACGTTGTGGCAGAGTTTCGGAAATATAATCGTTCCTGAAACCGAAAATACCACGAATACTGGAGAACGATGAAACATTGTTCTTAATATAAACATGAGGTGTCCGATACGTTTCAAGAGATGCATAATTCAAGTTCCGGTGTAAAACAATTTAAGTTTGACGAGACTGATTAAACAATCCCAGCCGAGCTCCGCAAAGGAAGTTTACAAGAGGACGTCGCTTGATAATCGGATAGCTGAAATGTTTGGAAAGTTACGACAAGTTTTATGAAATTCGTCGTTGGAGAGACGATACCAGGCCTGGACGATAAAGTTATCTGCTATTTATACCAAGTTACGGTGGTATACTCTCTTCTATCCGCGAAAGAAAAATTTGACGTCGTGTACATTCGTCCTTGTCCTCGGCGTTTAGTGAACGACGAACAAAGTCGTTCTCGAGGAAGAAAGTCGCTTTTGAGGTAACCGCTTCCATTGTGTTTCCTGTAAAAAGTGAACGAGGAGAACAACGGTCGCGTAACTTTCTTGAACGGATAAGAAAACATAGCGTGACATTCACTTCGACAAAAAGGTTTTAAGCAAACATCGGCCGTTTTGTCGCCATACACCGCGAACCAACGAATTTGGTAGACCGCGGCGAGCGTGGAAGAAACGAACAGAATTGAATGATACATTCAAACTCGTGGTTGTGGTGCACCATAAAATTCAAAAAAAAAAAAAAAAAAAAAAAAAAAAACAAGTTGACACGAAGAGTAAACGGAAAACGGGTATGTGGTCGTTGAAATTCCCAGAGCACGGAGCGACAGCGCGATGCATCAACGTCGTTTCGCACTTTCGCGAAAACTACCGGTTTTGACGCGCGATACTTTGCAACAATCTAAACCTAACCCAGAACCTGCCAGCGAGAACCTTACGACAAAGTCTCTTCAGGTGACAATAATCGCGAATTATGAGTTATTTAATTAGGAAGAACACGGTGCAACAGAAACAAGTCTAAGTTAGGGGTGACTGAATGAAAGACGAGAGAAAATTATTGTAAAATGTTGAAGAAATTCTTTCTGAGAGTCACTGAATCCTTACTATTTCAACAAATCGTTCTTCAAACAAGAATTTTGATATACTAAATTTCCGAATTACTAGAAAAAGAATTTGTTCTTTGCATTTAAAATAATATTACAAAAATGGTCGAAGTAAAGGAAATAGCTTCGTATTTACAAAGCTTTTTGGAATTGTTCTTGACGTATTTGCAAGATATTTGGGGTGTAATAGGGATCACCAGAAAGTACACATTGAATTATTGCCTCCTACTCTCCGCATCCCCATCGACGAAGGAGACTTTAAATGCGCTTATCCATCAGCATGGCATTAATATACTTTAAAAGCGGTTATATTTCTGTTTGCTCGAAAAGCACTTTCGCCTTTGACGCGTAGGTCGTAAACGGAGTAATGGTTGCTTTTACCCTATCGACCCCTGGAAAAGTAAACCTGGTTCAACTGGAAGGAGCGATCCGGATGAACAGTACCGAGTAATATCGAATAATGACGAGCGAGGAGAAGCGTGAAATGCGAATAATATCTTGAGAATTTAATATAAAACGCGCGATATCGAGAGCGAGAAATATTCAACGGAGAAATGCGAAGGAATATTTTCTTACAGCTGGCATTTTTCTTCGTCGAGTATTTTGCAATAATTCAATCTTTTTAAGCCGCGGTGTCTTTATTTGTCTCATTTGTCTCGTCGAGTATCTGGGGGAAACACGGTTTGTCTCCCTTGTGTTTCAACGCGGCGATAAATTGCACGTGTCGTTTCGCCCCATCGGTATTCCAGATCAGGAATGCCCATTCGAAGACGTAATTTCTGGGAAGCTGTCGTTTTTGCGGGGAAACTTCGATTATTATTGGAGCAATGTGTCTAGTTTGTCTATTGGTAACTTTTATGGGAAAAGAATTGAAGAGAAAAGGAGAATAGAAAATGGAGAACTGGGATATAAGTCATCCGCAAACTGGTGTGTTACAAAAAAGAATACCATGGGCACCATGGAAAATTGTTCAAAACAATATCACTAATAATTAAGACATTTGTTACGTACGCGCACTCTTCGCGAGCGATATCGAAGTGGTACACGTACTATCGATCTCAATGATCTTGATAAAAGAAATAAGATGTTGTGTGCCAACATAATCTTTGTATTAGCTTTAGTTAAGATAACTCTGTCTTCTTCTCATCCTCCGGCAAACTCCAGCAGCAAACATTCCAAATTTCTTCCTTCTGATGATTTCATCCTGACTAGACATCCCGGACCTCGACCTCACTACCTCTCCTTTGCTGACCACTAAACTTAAGATAATTCCTACCCTTCCATTTTCTATCTTTCCCGAACCTATAAAGCCCACTGCTTTTCCCTTTGAACAGAGAATTGTCCGAACCGTCTCGATACGAAAATCTATAGCCAGTACCACGCGTATACCTTTGTTAACTTCGTTCAATTTCGCTCGACGTTGTACTTGTTCAATAATAATAAAGTAACAAGTCAAGCGGAATACAACAAAGGATACACTGATAGAAACTTAACTATTAGTTTATTTGAAAATAGAGGTGTCTGCTATGACACGCTACGCTTATGACGGTAGATTTGTATCTGCTCTTGTCTTGAAAAATGCCACCCTCGAGGACTCGAAGGTGGTGGGAAAAATGGTCGGGTAGAAATGGAAATTTGTTCGTGATTGGTTGAAATATGAGGTTACAGGAGGAGAAGTCGGCTGAGGAGGAAAATGGTAACTCTATTGTTTGTAAAAGGCTAGCGGAAAACGGTAAAAATGACCGCGCGACATCTGCTCGCCAAATGTAGTAAAACCTAAGCACTTACATTTTGGGAACGCGCATTTATTAGGTTGAGTCATAAGTAACTTCCGTTTTTTTTATCAGACATTTACTTTACTCTCTTTAAATAACAAAATTATATTAATTTATTATGTATTCACTACTATTATCTGTAACCTTCTCCCATCTTCCTGGGAGTTTATCAATTCCATCCTTGTATAATGTGGTTGGTTTGGACTGGAAGAAGTTTTCGACAGCCTGCCTGACTTGCTCCTCAGAATTGAAGGTTTTTTGATTCAAAAACATCTTCCAAACATCTTCCTTTTTGTAAGGAACAGAAAAGGTGGTAGTCTGTCGGGGCAAGATCCGGGGAGTAAGGTGGACGTGGTAAAACAGACCATCTAAGCTCAAGAATCTTTTCTTCAGTCACCCTTGCTGTATGTGGTCACACATTGTCGTGTAAAAGAATGACGTTTCTGCGATTGACGAATGCAGGACGCTTTTCATTGAGTTTCTTTTGTACTCTTTGCAACTGTTGAACGTATCTATCTGCAGTAATCGTTAAATTTGACTTCAACAATTCGTGGTGAATTATTCCTTGACAATCCCACCATACAGACAATAAAATCTTTTTGCCATGGATGTTTGCTTTCGGATCTGGTAGGGATGGTTGATCCTTATCAAGCCACTGTCTTTTGCGGACTATATTGTTATAGGTAACCCATTTCTCATCGCCTGTTACAATCCTGTTTAAAAAGAGTTAATTTTTTACCCGTGAGAGCAGACTTGTGGCGATTGCATGCGGTCTTTTTTATTCCGTTCACTGAGATTGTAAGGTACCCATACTCCTAACTTGCTGACTTTCTCTAATTTCTCTAGGTGGCGGTTAACAGTTGATTGTGATGTGTCCAACCTTTCTGCTATACCTCTTGTTGATTGACGTGGATTTTGCTCCAATATTGCCTTTAAAAGGTTGTCGTCAAAGTCGGAAGGACGTCCCGCCCTCGGTTCGTCTTTTAAGTCGTATCTCCAGAACGGAATTGTATAAACCAATTTCTAATTGCCCGATCAGTTATTAGTCCTTCACCATATACACTGCATATTTTGTCAGCTGTCGCCTTAGCACTATTGCCTTGTTTAAATTCCCAAAGCATTACATGACGAATATGTACTTTTTGACTATCCATTTCAGAGGTGAAAAAAACCAATTTAACGTAACTTGTATCACACAAAACAGTTGACAAAAAAGTAACAGAAGCCTCGTCCATATAGTGAAAACAAAAACTTGTTGTCATGGTAACTCATAGTGGGTAGATACGAACAATGATATTTTACTTAGCTGCATCGGAAGTTACTCATAACTCGACCTAATATGATGGGGTCGACCAGAATTACCCTTAAATGTCGACGGCGGAGAATATAATTTTACGCTTAAATATAACTTACAACCTAGCAACATTTACCTAAACATTTACGCAATCAAAAACATTACAACATCGAATAGTTTCTGAAATTAATTCTCCTTGGGGATCTTCTAGCAGAAAGGTACTCCTAATGTGCCATATTAATATTAAAATTTTACACGAATGTGGTTGAGTCTCTGCCGAGTGCAACGGAAACTGACATCGTTTCCACGAATGCACGATCCTGTAAATATTTTCACGAGTTCTCCCTTATCCGTGGAAAAAGTAACGCTGACACGTGAAAACGTACGTCATCATCCGATCCACGAAACGCCAGACGCTTTCGCGACTCTGGAAGATGTTTAAACAATTTCAGCGGATTCTAGCTTAATTTCAAGCGACCCACGTAATCCAAACGTGGACTGCTAATCTTCTCGATGTTATTTCTAGTTAACTGCACGACGTCTTGTTACTACGTCAGCGTGGTACTCGCCGTTAGGGTTTAATGAAACGCTAACTGAAATTGTTTATCGAAGGAAATATTCTACCTATGACATTATTTCGTTTGATACACGACGAATGGGATTTAAGGTGGCAAAGTAAAGCAAGAGGTGATAATAACCTTTCGTATTTTAATATTTATGTTAGAAAATGTTAAGAAATTAAAGGAATACAAATACGTAACAATGGAATATCAAATTTAACATACGTGAAATTGATTTTCAACGTTGCCTTCATAAACGAAGACAAACTATTTCGAATTGTTTACCATAACTTTTCTTAACAATAATTCAAGGGACCATCTCACCATCCAAAAATGAAAAGCTCCCAAAATTTTCCATAGCGACTTTTCATTTAAAAATTCTCAGGTCACGCCAAACACACAAATAATACAAAAAAATGCTAGAATTTCGATCGAAAGAAATTTTCATTTTAAAACATGAACATTTCAAATCGGGTCACTTTCATTGCAAACTAAGCGAGGTACGAAGTCGTACGAATAACTAGGAATATATTTAGAAATAAAAAATTAATAAGCGCGGTACTCTTTGCATGTAGGGCGAGTGAAATAAAATAAAACATAAAAAGGATAAAATAGTGACGCGTTGCAGGTGTATGAATATATTGGAGTGCAGTCGTGCTGCAATCGACAACATATTCTGCTCGATAAAAGCTAGTTTCCATTTGAACGCTCATGCAACGAGAGCGCACACGCAAATACTTGACGCAGCATGTTTAATATTTTATTTGAAACATGTAAAGTGTTTCAGATAAATATTCTTATACGTTAAACATTACATGTTGAGCAGTGTGTGTGCAACGCCACGTGTTGAATGGAAATTGTAAATCAACATTCAGATGTTGCTATTCATAGTTGAATTAAGTCACATGATTCCTCAAGGTCTCCATGGACAGTTATTAAATATCTTGGCTTTCAGTCTTCTCGCATACCAAACAATTATTTTTCTTGGATTTGAATTTTGATTTTTAAGTGGCAATGTTAACTTTGTTTGAATATCTTTGTGTAGATTCGAGTTTATTTTTATGATTTATTTAAAAGAATGAGGATGAAAGCATGCTTTTATTAAATTGACAATTAATCAAATAAATTGACGATGGTCATTTTGATAAAAGCAATTTATTGCTTGCCTTTTATTGCTTGAATATAATCAAATTTGGCACTATAACGTTGCTCTATTGGAATCGGCTAATGAAATTTTCCGAAGGACGAGCAACGAAATAAAACGTATCGGGCAAAACCAAGGTATGGTCTACGCTGAACGTAAACATAAATTAATAAATTATAACACGTTTAATAGTTGCCCTCCGAGACCTTAGGAATAAATTACAAAATATTTCAATAATGCTCGATCCGGCGCATATCGAAGTAAAGTCGACGGCAGCTGGCTCATCTCCCGTGACATCAAGATTTCGTGTGAGTCAACATGCAAATTGAAGATATTGCGAATGCATCGTCCCAGCTAGAATAAGCGTACGTGTTTATGTCAACTCGTCACGTGCATGCTAAGTACGTACATCCGTTGTTAAACTTGAGAGTTTTCGAGCAAATCCCAAAGATCTTATTTACAACAAACACGTGTGCATGTTAAGTCCAGTAAAACTATAACAGTTTATTATATAAACGTCGTATATATATATATATATGTATTATTATTAGTAAATATATATTATATATATTTAATTCCAGTGTTATATTTAAATAATATATATGCTACTATATATAATAATATATAATAATATATTGTATATATATTATTTAAATATAACAATGGAATTAAATATATATAATATATATTTACTAATAATGTATATATATAATTATATAATTATACGACGTTTATATAATAAACTGTTATAGTTTTACTGGACTTAACATGCACACGTGTTTGTTGTAAATAAACTTTGGGATATATATAATGCAATTCAATTAGAGAAGGGAAATTATTTATCTCGAACAAAATGAAGCACACCCTTAAGTTCGTTACATGAAACTTTCTGCATCCACTTTATTAATTTCATTAAACTTTGCTACTCTATAGAATTTTATATATTGCGTGCAATTTATTTACATTATTATGCTTCACGCGTAGGAGTGCTGGTACGCATGCCACTGTATGGATATGCATTGATACTGTTCGCATCAATATTAGACGTACGTGCTGCACGCGATTTCAATTTCACTTTAGTTAAATGGTATTGGTAGTTAATTATTTCGTGCAATCTGCACGACTAATTTCCTCCAAGTGGTAGCAATTTGCTGTAAACATTGTAGAATAGTAGGCGAAATATAAGTCAAATGGTTGGGGAGCAATCAATTGCGATCAATCATCATATTTTCCCAAAAGTGTGATTCCAAAAATTCCCAATCTACTGTAAATAAAATAAAATAACTACACGCTCGTTGAATGTTTTTTTATCCTATTTGGACGGAACTGATGGCTTCAGTAGTTTAGATTCAATCGAGGACTCGTATTGGCTTTATGCCTCAAGTTTTACAAAGTGTCCCGAAAGTAACGATTCAGAGCATTCAACAGGTTCCCGCGGACGTTATATTCACGACTTGATTCTAAATTCTTCGCAAATATAGAGACACAACTGGCAATATAAAAAATAGTGTCCGAACTGAAAGTTGACAACTTCTTTCTCTTTTCTTCGTACTCTTAATTACTATTTTCTTGCATTTATTTTTCTTGAAGCTTGAAATATAATTAAAATATTTCACGCACGAAACAATATGAACGCGAAACTATTGAAACAATATTGTAGATGATAATTATGGCAGATTTTCAAAGGCCTCGGCGCAGACTCTCCTGTCAATGTTAACGATACCGCTTGCTTACTCGTTATTTGGCGATTCGTTTTCATTAGTAATCAAAGTCGTAATATTAATAACGCGATTTGGATTACTACAGTTGCGTTATTAATACCAAACGAGTATGACGTTTTCGAAACAGATTTATTTGCAATAAACCTACATTTTCGCGATAAACGTTACTCTGAATAAATTGAAGACATTTAATGGAATTGCACGAGAGTCTAGAATAAAATTATTGATTTATTTCTGGATTGTTTATCTATGCACTGTCGTTCAAAATTATTCGATCACTATTTATGTGAATGGGGAAAACAAGGGAATTGGATCGATTGGATTAATTTACTAAATTGTTTGTAGCAAAAATGTATTTAAATTCGAAGACTGAAATATATAGTTTCTCAGTAAATTAATCCAATTGATCCAATACTTTTCACCCTTTTTCTCAGTCAGCCCCAAAGTGGGAAGTATCAAACACGGAACTGCAAAGAGGCCGAGTAGTATGTTAAATAAAAATTTCCCTGTTTCGTTGAAAATTTACAAAGCCAACAAAAACTTATTCCCTCAAGACTGTTCCATCTAAATTTCGTTCTTGACTCAAAGCTCAGATATTCAAATGTAATTAACGTTCGTGGACTTAATACACCTACACGCAAACCATAAATTTCAACAACAAAGCGCTGGAGGAAAGTCTCGCGTAGCACATTTAAATATCCCTGCGTTTTTCCAAGCGTTATCGTTAACACAGGTTCATTAATCGATAGATAAGCGCGGTCACGGAAAAGGGGTTCATTTGTGAACTAAAATAAAAGGAGGAAAAAAAAGCTGGGTGGTAATGTGAGAAAGTCACGGAGTGAGTGAGTCGTTAAATTATTTTAATAAATATTATGCACCAAGTAATTCATTTTTTAAACACGTTCATTTAAAATCGATCAACGACGGAGATCATTATCGACTGCTATAATTTATAAATGACACGTTACAAATTTTGTCAAATAAATTGATCTCCTTAAATAACTCGATAACTTTTTTTACAACCCCTTAACTTCGTTTGAATTAGATTTAAAATTATTATTCAAATTTAATTTGATCCTTTCACTTTGAAATACGTTACAGTCAGACGTGGGTAATATTTGTAGAATAAATATTTTAAATACTATTTTAAATAATAGATTCTTCATAATTTAAATAAAATAGTATTTCAAATGGGATATAAAATTTCAGCAAATAAAATATTTTATTTTGATAATGTAAAACGTAAAATAAAATATGTTTC